TCCTACTTTTACAACCTCTAATAGCGTCACTGACAAAATTAGCTGTGAAAAGGGGCACAGCTGGCCGGACTGGCAAATAAAACACCTCCATCGGTCGGTGATGCTATTTAGAAAATTGTATTCTTTAACTAGGCTTTTAGCATATAATTCTATTATCTATTGTATAACCTATTGAATAATGAGGAAGACACTAGGTTTGTCGACCATTAATAAATAAATAAATAAATAAAAGAAATAAAAAAATAAAATATTGTTTCCTTCTATTGTTATTTCCTTATTTATATAATTGTGGTTTAATATAGTTTTTGATAAATTCCAAGTTAAACTTATATTTGGTTCTAAATTTGATTTGAAAATTTTTCAAAGTTTATAGTATAACTACATTTTGAAGTTATTTGGCTTAAAATTAATATTTTTGTGTCTGTGCTATAAAGTTTTTTGTCCTGGGTAAAATATTTTTAATGAGCTATTTCTGGGTATGGAATTGTTTGGAATACCGGAATATGGGATATTATCAGTATTTCGTTTGTATCTGATTTAAACCAAGTGGAAGTTTTTGTATTCATCAATTTCTCAGAATTAACATGCAACAAATAGTCATGTTTTAGTAATTTTGGGTTAAAAATGCCTAATCAATGTGATTTAATTTAGGAGACATCTCCGACCCCATAAAGTATATATATTCTTGATTAGCATCAACAGCCGAGACGATATAGCCAAGTCCGTCTGTCCGTCTGTCTGTTTCTATGCGAACTAAAGCTATCTTAATGAAATTTTGCAGAAGTCCGTCTTTCTGTTGCACGCAGCACATATGTATCATATAGCTGCCATAGGAACGATCGGTCGATCGGTTGTATGAAAAAACATTTTGTTTATAAAGATATCTTGACCAAGCTCGGCACTTATTAGTTTTACTTTACTCCAAATATATATGCAAAATCCTATTAAGCTCGGACCACGATCGGTCGAAAATAAAGTTTTTGTATAAAAAAACATATTGTTTTTCAAGATATCTAGACCAAACTCGGCATTTATTAGTTTTACTATGCTTCTCATATATATGCAAAATATTATTAAGATCGGAACACTTTATCATATAGCTGCCATAGGAACGATAGGTCGAAAATTAAGTTGTTATATGAAAAAATATTAACTATTTGCCCTGTGCTTAGATGCGTGCAGAAGATAGACTTTTTTTCTCGTTCAAATTCTTTTTGTCGATTATAATAATTAAGGGAACTTTCTGTTATTTGTAAATGGTTACTGTTGTCTTCTTGTGCATTATGTATGGTTGCTCTTGTGCTAATGGTATCTTCGCCTAAGAAGTTTTCGTTTAATTGGATTCTGGACAGAGCATCTGCCACATCATTTTTTTTTCCTGGGACGTATTTAATTTGGAAATCATCAAACTCATTTAGCTTGATTTTCCATCTTTGTAATTTCATGTTAGGTTCTTTCAGGTTATTTTACCTGACGAATGGTCTGTGATCACTAAGAAAAATGATAGGACCTAAAGTATTTAGTAGCCCAAACGATTGCTAATAATTCTTTTTTATTCGTTGAATAATTTATCTTATGCTCGTTGAGAGTTCTACTTGCATAGCATATAGCCTTATGCTCTTGCGAAAGGACGGCCCCTATTGCCATATTACTCGCGTCTGTAGTTAATGAAAATGGTTTTTCGAAATTAGGGTATATTAAAATTGGTTCGGATGTTATGAGTACTTTTAGCTTTTAAACGCTAATTCGTAGTTTTTGTCATAAATGTTGATTTTTGCTCCCCGTTTTAATTAATGGTTTTACTATATTACCGAAATTTGGTATAAATTTCCTATAGAAACCACAAACATCCTAGAAATGATTTAATTTCTTTTGGGGTTTTGGAAATTGGAATTTTACAAGAAATTCAGTTTCTTTTCTTATAAACTCGCATTTATCCTACTGTAGTTTTAAGTTAGCTTCTCTAAGCTTCTCAAATACTTTTTGTAGCAACAAAACGTGTTCCTCCAATGAAGTGGAAAAAATGATAATGTCGTCTAAGTAGACCAGACAATCCTTAAAAATTAAATCTTCTAAGAGATTGTTCATACTACGTTGGAACGTTGCAGGTGCATTCTTAAGACCAAATGGCATGCGAGTGTACTCGTAATGGCCATGTTAGTCGAAAATGCGGTCTTGAGTATTGAACCAGGATTCATTTGGATTTGGTGGAAGCCTTTGGCTAGATCAATGGTTGTGAAATATTGACATGTTCCAAGTTTGTCTAATATTTCATCCATGATCGGGATAGGGTATTTATCATTAATAGTTAGTTCATTGAGATTGCGGTAATCTATGACTAACCGGAATTTTTGCTTTCCAGATGCATCGTTTTTCTTTGGAACGATTATTACTGGTGAGCAGTAAGGGGATTTGGATTTAAGTATGATATTTTGTTTTATCGTATATTTGAGGATATTTGTATGGACGCTTGTAAATTGGGTCCTTATGTTTTGTTAGAATATTGTGTTTAATTTTACTAGTGAAAGTCAAATTGTCATCTTCATGGTACTGGATGTCACGAAATTCATATACAACTTTTTTAATTGTTTCATTTTCTTCTGAGTTTAGATGCTCTAGCGTAAACTCATTGTTTTCTATTAATTCGTTATTAATAGCGAAGTTAAATGGTCTCTCCTCTGTTGAGGATGGATTAAGGCACTCTTGTGCGGTCATGTCCTCTTCGACCTCTTCGTCATTATACCAAAAACAAATGTTATACTCTCCTAAGGTTACGGATCCTTGTGCATAGATTATTTTTGCTTGACATGCTTGGGTATTGAACCAGGATCCATTTGGATTTGGTGGAAGCCTTTGGCTAGATCAATGGTTGTGAAATATTGACATGTTCCAAGTTTGTCTAACATTTCATCCATGATCGGGATAGGGTATTTATCATTAATAGTTAGTTCATTGAGATTGCAGTAATCTATGACTAACCAGAATTTTTGCTTTCCAGATGCATCGTTTTTCTTTGGAACGATTCTTACTGGTGAGCAGTAAGGGGATTTGGATTTACGTACTATATTTTGTTTTATCATATCGCTTATTTGTTTATTAACTTCCTCATCGTAATTTGAGGATATTTGTATGGACGCTTGTAAATTGGGTCCTCATGTTTTGTTAGAATTTTGTGTTTAATTGTACTAGTCAAGTCAAATTGTGACCTTCATGATACTGGATATCACGAAATTCATGTAAAACTTTTTTAATTTTTTCTTTTTCTTCTGAGTTTAGAAATAGTGTGAATAGTCTATTTTTGCTTGACATGCTTCAAGGTATTCTCTTCCAATCAGAACACCATAATGCTCTGACTCATGATTATAGAATTTTTGTTTACTCAGACAAATTTTGCTCGCTTCTAATCGTATGCTTCGTTTTAATTCAATAACACCATTTATGGTGTGAACCCTTAATGCTTCGTTGTAAATTGGAAAATGTAAGCGGTTTGTTTTCATTAGATTTATGGTTGAACCTGTGTCAATAACAAATTTTAGAACTTCATCATTCATAATAAATTTTATGAATGGATTTCTTCTGGTTCTTCCGAGGCTTCCTGATGAAAATTTTCATCTGCCCACTGTTGCTATCTCTTTGACGTTTCGTCGGAGGGTTTGGCGCATTCAAGCGTGAATGGGAATGATTTTGATAGATTAAGGGATTTCGGGATCTACCTTGACTTAATTTCTGTTGGAACTCGTGGTAAGCTTTCTGATTATCTTCGGAATTATTGTTCTGTTTATTTTGTACGTGATAACTATGATTCGTGTTGGAATAGCCACTTGAAGTGGTGGTTGGGTTAGCGTTTTGCTGATTATTTCCCATGTTCCTACGATTGATATTTTTATTTCCCTGAACATTATTAGTTTTAGGTTAATCAGTTACGCTATTTTCATAAAATCCTTCTCTGCGCTACTTGCTTTAGATTTGTGTCGACATAATGTAGTATCTGGCTAACATCACGAAAAACCAATCGGGTAATTTTTTTGTAATTACATCATTGATTGTGTTATTCATGGTATATTTTCTAACGCTAACTTTTTTTACCCTTGCAGAGGGTATTATAATTTTGTCGTGAAATGTGTAACGCATGGAAGGAGACATCTCCGACCCCATAAGGTATATATATTCTTGATCAGCATCAACAGCCAAGTCGATATAGCCATGTCCGTCTGTCCATCTGTCCGTCTGTCCGTCTGACCCTCTGACCGTCTGACCGTCTGTCTGTTTCTATGCGAACTAGTCTCTCAGTTTTAAAGCTTTCCTAATGAAACTGTGCAGAAGTCCATTTTTCTGTTGCACGCAGCACATATGTGAAAACCAGCAGGATCGGACCACTATATCATAAAGCTGCCATAGGAACGATCGGTCGAAAATTAAGTTTTGTATGACCAAACTCGGCAATTATTAGTTTTACTATGTTTTGTATGACCAAACTCGGCAATTATTAGTTTTACTAAGCTTCTCATATATACGCAAAATCCTATATAGATTGGACCACTATATCATATAGCTGCGATAGGAACGATCGGTCAAAATTTAAGTTGTCGAATGAAAAAACATTTTGTTTTTCAAGATATCTCGACCAAACTCGGCATTTATTAGTTTTACCATACTCCTCATATACATGCAAAATCCTATTAAGATCGGAACACTATATAGCTGCCATAGGAACGATCGGTCGAAATTTAAGTTGTCGAATGAAAAAAAATTTTGTTTTTGAAGATATCTCGACCAAACTGGGCTTTTATTAGTTTTACTATACTCCTCATATATTGGCAAAATACTAATGAGATCGGACTACTCTATATAGCTGCCATAGGAACGATCGGTCGAAAATTAATTGGTCCTTCTTCCTACTGAGCTAAATAGCACCACCGACTAATCCTTAAAAGCAACTAATCCCTCTTTCAAAACAAAATCATCACATAATAACACCTGTCCTACATCTTATTCTCCAGTTCACTCCTCTGTAGAGAACCAGCATGGTACCGTCAATGAAGGCATCCAATCAACGTCAAGGAACGGACTCTTTTAGATGCCGGGTGTGTAGAGGCATCCATGCGCTACGCAAGTGTCAGTGCTTCTTGAAGCTCACGCCCGAGAAGCGTCTCCGAGCCGTGATAATTAACAAATATTGCTTCAACTGCCTGGCTCATCAGCATTCAGGGGAATCATGCAGCAGTGGAGCCAAGTGCATAATTTGCAAAAATGACCACCATACCTTACACCTTACTCCACGTGATCCCCGTAGCGCTCGACCCTCTCGGTCAGACAACAGGCCCACAAGAAGAGCTTCTGGCTCCTCGCCCTCCAGCGGCACATCACCCCCAAGCCCGAGACGTGCTACTATACGGACGTCGCTTACGTCCCTTCACAAGGGGGTCAGTATATTGCCCACCGCCATAGTGCTGCTCGACACCGGAAAAAGGGCCCTTGAGACTCGGGCTCTGATCGATCCATGTTGTTCAGTAAGCCGCATTAATGCAACCGTGGCAAGGGCCTATGGCCTTTCCGTCACACGCATTTGCGCAGAAGGAGCGTGCACAGCCGTGCTACGCTCCAAGACAACTCAGATGTCTCGAGAAGTGGTCTTCATGGCTGACCCGCAACTCAGCTGACATGAAGGACCCGTTCAGCAACGTCGCTTTGGCGGACAACGAATGGTTCCGTCCATCTCCAGTACCTGTGGTACTCGGCGCCGACGTCTACCCAGACATCATCCTACCAGGTATCCTCCCGAGCCAAGGCGGTCTGCCGATGGCTCAAAATACCAAGTTGGATGGATACTCTCTGGCACAATAGGAATTCTTGCAATCTGCATATTGCCAGGGGGGAGAATGTTCATGCCAGTTCAGTGCTAGTGTGAACACAGCGTTGACACAGCCTCACTCAGTGTGAGAGAGTCACTCAGTGAGACAGACTCACTCACTGAGAGAGACTCACTCACTAAGTCGATCCCAGATGCGCTCAGCACTCTCCTTGTGGTCTCCTTTCCACCTCCATCACTCCAACCAAAAATATGTAAAATCACTTAACCAGCAAAATTTGTTAAATGCAGTAGAAAATTCTAATAAAGTGCTTTTTCACCAATAACAATCAAGGATTATTTTTCTGACGCCACCCCCACAAACATTGCTCCTTCGAGCCGGATCATATATAAACCGATCGCCCCTACACAAGTTTTTTGGCAAAGATAAGTAAAGGAAATAAAAATTTCCTTTCTATATATATTCGGCAATATCCGCCATATTTTTCCGCCATATTTTTTTTCTTTAAGAAAACTGATTGAATATATATAAATTATCCGACCACAAAACTAAAAACAGTTTAGTTAAATTTTGTGTTAGTTACTTCCAACTACAAAAGAAATCCACTTCAACATTTTTTGTATGTACATACGTACGCACTCGTGCACTTTCCTAACTATAAAATTTTTTAATTACGTGTCCGCACTTAATCCGACAAGTTGCTTCACAATATTGTTTCCTAATTAATATTGTTAATTCATGTTCTTGGTCCGACACACAAACATACACCAGGTTCACCAGCACGTATTATACATACATACAAGTTGACAACTAAACATATAAGATACACTCTCACAGTCATACATTGTTATTTCTAAGTACGCAACACACAATCATAAGTATTTGGTTGCCCTCAGCAACAAATACAACAACACACCAACTGCCAAGAGTTCTGCGCACAGCAACTGAAAACGGACGCCCGTGCTGCTTGCGCAAGAATGCTGAGTCGGCATGCCGACTCTAGCGTATGGCGTGATGCATTGGCTTCACAGGGCAAACTTAAGCTTGAACATTTCTGTAGCCTTTAGTCTCAATCTAGATCGCAACATTATTACACGAGTGAATGATTAAACTCCGGCATTGCCGTCAATAAACATTATTTGTGTTATCAATCATAGTTGACCACGTCCAAGACGGGCAACTGGGAAAGTTCCCACAACCTAATCACATCGTTCCACCTCACAAGGAGAAGAATCACCTGTTGGATTCATCACCACCTCACAACGAGAAGAATCACCTGTTGAATTCATCACCACCTCACAAAGAGAAGATGTCACCACCGTCCGACCAACCATCGTCGCCAGACAACGAAGTTACGACGGAAGACTTAATTGGCGCCCAACCAATAAATAGGAACCCATACCATGTAAGTTCATAAGTGATTTCAGTTTTGAAAAAATTATTCACGAACGCCACGTACCGATACGTGTGATTTTTATAAAAAAAAAAAGTGTAAAGTAACGTAAATATTGATGCTTCTTCTGCCAGCATTTCATTCCTTTAAATCATTGCATACTTTTATAAAAATTGTTGCAGACTTTTACTAAAAATTGTTGCATACTTTTACCAGCGTTCCTTGTCAATAAAGCATTGCATACCTTAAACGAATAATTATTGCATACTTTCGGCAGCATTATATTTTTTGCTGCATACCCTTAACAATTTTTTATAATAAATATTGCATACCCCAAGATACACCAGTTTCCGTTATTGCCAACAGTTTTGCCTGCCGTTCTTTCTCGATCGGCCTAAGTTTTGAAAATTGCCAACCATAAGCAAATGAGTTGGAATTATAGGGAGGTAAAAGTAGAATATAATAGTGACGATAGCTTGGAGGGGGAAATCAATTGCTCAGTAGATCCTACTCCTGCAGATACCGTTGTAACTTGACGGTGCCATCAGGCAAAGAGAATCTGGTGGCGGATGCCCTTTCAAGGCAAAACATTAATGCTCTGCAAGATGGGCCCCGTTTGGACGCTGCAACCGTTCACAGCGAACTTTCCCTGACCTACACGGTCGAGATAACAGACAAACCTTTGAAGCAAAACAAACCTTGAAGCAAAACACGCCACTTGATAAGTTACACTGACAAGAGCACAATTCTCAAAACTCTCAAAAAAGTTGTGAATTCTGGAGTCGTTAATGCAATACATTGCGATCTTCCCACGTTGGCAAGTTTCCAACACGACCTGATTTTGCATTTCCCTGCCACCCAGTTCTGGCATTGCAAAAATCTTGTGCAAGATATAACGGACAAAAACGAGCAGTTAGAAATCATCACTGCCGAGCACAATCGAGCGCACAGAGCAGCTCAGGAAAATATTAAACAAGTACTTCGTGACTATTATTTTCCCAATATGGCCAGTTTGGCCAAAGAAGTGGTTGCAAACTGCAGGGTCTGCACTAAAGCCAAGTACGATAGGCACCAGAAGAAACAAGAACTCGGGGAAACGCCTATACCAAGTTATACTGGCGAAATGTTGCATATTGACATTTTCTCGACAGACAAGAAACAGTTCTTGACCTGCATAGACAAATTCTCCAAATTTGCAGTCGTCCAACCGATATTATCCAGAATGATAATCAATGTCACAAGCCCTCTACTGCAAATTGTTAACCTTTTCCCCGCAACCAAGACAATTTATTGCGATATCGAGGCGGCCTTCAATTCCGAGACCATCACTTCGATGCTCCGAAACGCCTACGGCATTTGCATTGTGAATGCGGCTCCGCTTCACAGCACCTCAAACGGCCAGGTGGAGCGCTTTCATAGCACCCTGACCGAAATTGCGAGATGCCTCAAGTTAGACAAGAAAATCAGCGACACTACAGAATTAATCTTAAAGGCTACGATAGAGTACAACAAAAGTTTGCACTCAGTAACCCGCGAGAAACCAATTGAGGTCGTCCATGCCGCAGCTTATGATCGTCGCGAGAACGTCAAAGACAGGCTAATTAAGGCACAGCAAGACAATATCAAAAGGTGCAATGCATCCAGGCAAAACCGCGTAGGAGAAAAGGTGTTCCAGGGAACAAGTTAACTCCCTTATGCTCAGAACAAAAGGTCGAAGCAGACCTGGGAACGTCTGTCCTCATTAAGGGGAGGGTGGTCCATAAGGACAACCTGAAATAAGTTTTCCTCCACAATTAGCTAGTAAACCAACTTAGAGTTAGAACACCGTCTTATATTGTTCGTCCATTTCAGGTTTGCACTCACTTTGCTTGTGGCACTAGCAGCGGTAAATGCTCGGATCACCTACTTCTCGCATGCCAACTACATTCCGGTCTTAGACGGGGAAGTACTGGTGTTCGATCAACGTAGCTACTTGAGGCACTCAAGTAACATTTCTGAATTTGTTAGTATGATAGACGAGACAGAAAAACTGTCCGATTCCTTTCCACAGTCGCATATGCGCAAACTACTAGACGTAGATACAGATCACCTTAGAACATTGTTGTCCATTCTTCAAGTGCATCACAGATTTGCACGAAGCCTCGATTTCTTAGGCACTGCCTTGAAGGTTGTTGCTGGCACCCCTGATGCTTCAGATTTTCTAAGGGTCCGCGTTACAGAGACGCAGTTGGTGGAGGCTAACTCCAAACAGATACTAAACTCAGATACAGAAACTCAAAAACAAATAAACAGACTGACGGACACTATCAATAAAATTATCAGTTCCCGCAAAGGCGATTTGGTTGACACTCCTCATTTATTCGAGACACTGTTGGCAAGAAATAGAATACTGAACACAGAAATTCAAAATTTAATACTCACCATAACAATGGCAAAAGCAAACATAGTAAATCCTACAATCCTTGATCATACCGATCTGAAATCACTTATCGAACAAGATACCCCAATAGTTAGCTTAATAGAAGCTTCTAAGATCAAGGTCCTTCAGACCGAGAATATTATCCACATATTAATAGTCTACTCTAAAGTTGAGTTTAGGTGCCAAAAGGTCTCCGTCTACCCCGTTTCACACCAACAAACCATTCTGCGACTCGACGAAGACACGTTGGCGGAATGCGAAAAGGATACCTTTGCAGTTACTGGATGCACCGTAACTACGCATAACACCTTCTGCGAACGAGCACGGCGCGAAACCTGTTCTAGCTCCCTTCACGCGGGAAACATCGCCAACTGCCACACTCAACCTAGCCACCTGAAAGCGATAATGCTTGTAGACGACGGCGTCGTGGTTATCAACGAAG